CACCCACGCACCCACACACCCACGCACCCACGCACCCACGCACCCACGCACCCACGCACCCACGCACCCACGCACCCACGCACCCACGCACCCACGCACCCACGCACCCACGCACCCACGCACCCACGCACCCACGCACCCACGCACCCACGCACCCACGCACCCTCGCACCCACGCACCCACGCACCCACGCACCCACGCACCCACGCACCCACGCACCCACGCACCCACGCACCCACGCACCCACCCACGCACCCACGCACCCACGCACCCACGCACCCACGCACCCACGCACCCACGCACCCACGCACCCACGCACCCACCCACCCACCCACCCACGCACCCACGCACCCACGCACCCACGCACCCACGCACCCACGCACCCACGCACCCACGCACCCACGCACCCACGCACCCACGCACCCACGCACCCACGCACCCACGCACCCACGCACCCACGCACCCACGCACCCACGCACCCCCGCACCCACGCACCCACGCACCCACGCACGCACGCACGCACGCACGCACGCACGCACGCACGCACGCACGCACGCACGCACGCACGCACGCACGCACGCACGCACGCACGCACGCACGCACGCACGCACGCACGCACGCACGCACACCCACACCCACACCCACACCCACACCCACACCCACACCCACACCCACACCCACACCCACACCCACACCCACACCCACACGCACACGCACACGCACACGCACACGCACACGCACACGCACACGCCCACGCGCACGCGCACGCGCACGCGCACGCGCACGCGCACGCGCACGCGCACGCGCACGCGCACGCGCACGCGCACGCGCACGCGCCACACACACACACACACACACACACACACACACACACACACACACACACACACACACACACACACACACACACACACACACACACACACACACACACACACACACACACACACACACACACACACACACACACACACACACACACACACACACACACACACACACACACACACAAACACACACACACACACACACACACACACACACACACACACACACACACACACACACACACACACACACACACACACACACACACACACACACACACACACACACACACACACACACACACACACACACACACACACACACACACACACACACACACACACACACACACACACACACACACACACACACACACACACACACACACACACACACACACACACACACACACACACACACACACACACACACACACACAAACACACACAAACACGCACACAAACGCACAAAAACACAATCACACACACAATCACAAACAGACAACCACACAAACACGCAAACACACAAACACACAACCGCACAAACACACAAACACACAAACACACAAACACACAAACACACAAACACACAAACACACAAGCACACACACAAACACAATCACACACACAATCACAAACAGACAACCACACAAACACGCAAACGCACAAACACACAACTGCACAACCACACAAGCACACAAACAAACACAACCACACACAAATACACAAACACACAATCACCCACACAATCACAAACAGACAGTCACACAAACACGCAAACACACAAACACAACAACACACTTTTTTGGTGGTCGCGCGGTAGCCCCTTTTTTAAGGAAAACCCCACCCGGAAAACCGGTGCGCCGTGGGTCCGAATTTTCAGAGAGACACACCGAAGCCTCAGCCGAGTCCTTAAGGGTCTCGGCCAGGGACTTGAATGGACACGGCACCCCCACCTGCCATGCGAGAGAACGGCGCGGTTTCTCCAAAAGGACAGGGGAAAATGGAGTTGACTTATCCCAGTTTTCAAATTCGTCCCTTTCTCGTTCTCCCCAAACTAACCTTAGACTGCCAATACTATGTCAACCCCTGTGCCTTCTTCTCAGTGACCAGGCCCCCCGAGATATGCGGCGGGAAGCCGGAGGTGTCGCCGATCCGAATTGAGTTCACCTGCAGTGAAACGTCGACCTCTGAATACACCACCGTTGTGTCGGAGTGGGCCAGTTGCGAACTCAATAACTCAAGATCTGAATATGAATCAATGATGTAGGGCGACTCCAGGCGTCTCAACTCCCCTTCCCATGTGCATCCCTCAGAGCTGGTAAACACAAGCTGGCGCAGCGGAATTTTTCGCGAGAAGCACAGGTTGAGTGGCAGAAACTTCGTGGGCAACAAGCGCTTGAGCGAGAAACCGGCAGGTCAAAAGGTCCGTTCCGTTTCGGGATTTAGAAAAAGACAATGGAACCCGTCTGACAGATCCAGCAACAGAACTGCGAGGACAAGAGCGGAGAAAACCTTGCGGACAACAACAAAAAGCCGGAGAGTGGAAAGAATCAAGACTAGAAGCAAAAAGAGACAATTGTGTTTTGCAAGCCTTGTACCCCAGACGAAGAGAAGGTGGGCAGCGGGTTGGGGGGGGGGGTCTTTGCAAAGATTGGCTCCAGGTCACACATTGTCCAGCGGAAGTGGGCGGGGAGCTGTTGTCCAGAAGGTGTGCACAGCCCATCACCCCTTGCCCCCTTCTTCAACATTTTGGTGCGGCTCCGATCCGAAAAACCAACCAGTCATGGATGATTCCTTCCATGGGGCCTCTCGCTTCCCTCCAAAACGCCCATGGCTCTCCGCGAAAAGGTCGAAAGTCCAAATCCCGGAGACCAAACTTCCTTTATTCGGGAATCCCAACCCGGATCACTCAGCCAACACCCGGACTCGTCGTCATTCCCTACCCATATCGCGGCAACAAGAAAACACCCTGAGGATTTCTTCAAGTAAAGGTTGATCAAAAGCTCCGTAAAACATGGGGTGACCATTAGAAGAAAAAACAAACAAACAAACAAACAAACAAACAAACAAACAAACAAACAAACAAACAAACAAACAAACAAACAAACAAACAAACACAACATAAGAAAAAGTGAGCCATGGTCATCTTGCCAGGAATTTCTTTTGGGCTCTTTGGGGAAGCTGAAGCTGGGCCCTCATCTTGAGGCCCTCTGGGCCCTGCCGCGCCACTGGGCCCCGCGCTGGGTCGCTGGGCTTGGAACTGATCTTCCAGGCCGTCACCTTCTCCCCACAGG